CTGTCTGCTTGGGCAAATAGGATGCAGGTAAATGCAGCAGAAGGAAAAAGGTCAGAGACAGAAGGGAATTAGCAGCATCGAGCTGCAAATGATTACACTGCAGTTTACTAATAAACTTGCCCACCGTAATCCCAGGATGCACTTTCAAGGTTTGCACCTTTTGCTACAAACGGATCCAGACTCAAACTTTCACAGAATTGAGATCAGCTGACAGAAACACATAACTTGCCTCAAGAATGTTCACAACACGATGCCAGGGCTGTAAAAATCAAACCAGCTACTACTCAAGACAGTTCTTCGTCTGATTTTCACAGGAATCAAGGTATTTCAGCAGAGAAGTATCTAGCAAAGGGTTTTACTTGCTGTATGCAGTACGTCACTAAACAGTTTTCATCTGCCAGAATAATTTTTATCTGCAGAGAATTGTCAACTCTGGAAAGGTCCGAATTTACCTAAAAATACGCTTCATATATTACAATAAAAATAAGTAATAAGAAGCCCTACCAAAACTTTCATCACAAGTTGATTGTGTCTACAGAGCTAACTAGGGTACTATTTGCTTCTTCCCCGGCTCATTACCTGAATAACGACCTCCAGAAAACAGCGAAGAAACACATTTCACGTAACATTGAGTATAGCTAATTAGCTCATTTTTCAGCAGTCAGATCCCTTTACCAAATCCATCAGCCCGCATTCTCTCTCTCTCTCTCTCTCTCTCTCACCCACACAGGTATGCGCATGAAGGCAGTAACCACAACACCCAGGGTGATGTGTTCTGAATGCAACTCCCAACTAGCAGGAACAAGAGTTCTTATCCATGCTCTGTGTGACTGAGGCGGGGGGAAGGGAATTAGTATTCCCACAAAAATCAAATTTTCATTTGCTGCATACAGTGGCCACGCATATCCCTCAAAACTTTCAGCTGGTGTCAAAATTGTTTTCCAATAAAGTAATTAAAGGCTCAGACTACCTTTCAGCAATCAAAATGCACTTCTGGACTTCGGGCCAGGAAGGGGAGAAGGTGGAGAAGAACAGAAATTCATTGTTCCATCCAATGAGGCAGAAACTTTCAAACGCTATTATGGAACTTGTGGGAAAGACCGCAGGACACACTTTAAAGAAACACTTTAATAGCAAGATCTCCATCTTGTGGTAGGATGCTTCACTCTAAAGATGAGCAGCATACAAAACAGAAGGGTCAATTTCCTAACACTTTATGCTAGTTTACAGAAATACTTGTAACAGCAGAATCATCCTTCCAAAATAAGCATTTTTCCCCATCAGCATCCATCACAAGAGTGCTGATTTACCAGAATATTTGCAAGACTCATCTAAAAGCTCTCAAGTAGCAGCTCCTAGCTATGCATTCAGCTGAGACACAGTTACAGGACTTTTCATAATCCTGTGGTGACAAAGCACAGCCTTTACAAAATCTAGAACCAAGAACATTGATTACACTGGAGTCTTCCTATTATGAATTAAGATGGCAACTAATGGCTACGTGCAAAAGAGCCCATTAAGACTGTTGTTCTTCATCGCTGATTGGAGGGGCTACATCAAGCCGCTACTGGAATATGTTGCTAGCTTCCGCCATTAGTTTTAAAAACAATAAACAATGAATGGAATTAACAGTTTCCTACAATAACATAAAAGGAGAAGTGTTCCATTTAGATGGGAATACTATAGATAACCGAGACCATAACGAACTGACAGCTGTTAAGAGATCAAATTTAGAAGGATGCAGAGCATAATAGCATACAGAAGCGATACTTAAAGGGAAATGTTTACACAGAAAATATTATAAGAAATTGCATTAAGGTTTACACTGTGGTTTAACGCAGTTATTTAAGCCAGCATTACTGCCGGGAGAAGCAATCCCACTAATCCTTGACCCTAAGCCAATCCCCTCACCTTGTGCTGGCACGAGGTCTTAATGCTACCATGTAGGTAACCCTGATGGCCAACTAAGGTGAAAGACAAACGCAGAACAGTCTAGCTTTGTTACATAAGAAATACTTCCAAATTAAGACGAAGATAACTACAGTATTTCCAGAATTCCACCAGACAGTGCTTAAACAGCTCAGCCTGGTACTCGCATTGGAGAAAAGGAGCCCGTCCAGTAAGAACATACAAGCAAAGGCAAGGCAGAAACAGTTACACAACAGAGAGAATTCGAAAAATGCTCTAAAAGAACTCATTTCCCAAATGTCAAGGTAGGTCACCCGTGATTTTAAAGAGAAATCTTTACACGTCAAGTGTCACCGTTTCACTTACACAGATGCTTCTCCAGCTTCAAAGCCTATCAATTCTAAATATCCAGTACACTCATTCAATTTTTAGCTCAGTTCTATTGAAAAACAAATTCCAAAAATTTCATATCTGAACTGTCTCTATAGAGACACTTAATTTTTTATTCAAAAGCTTTTTCAGAGATTAGATGAATGCAAAAAAGACAGAAAAATTTTCCACACTGCTTGAAGTTACAATTATATGCCATACAAATCTAGACTAGGTTCCTAAAAGACGTATTTTTGGAGCTCTTACAAATTGTAAACAAACAAGACAATCCATATTAAAACAGCCTTTTATTTGTTAATATCACATAAGAAAATTTAAGCCGGTTACACTATCTTAAAAACACAACTAACGCGTTTAACATGAGTCCCCTTCCTGAATAAGAAATCTAAGTAAAGAAGAAAGTACCAATAAAAAACAAGTTTTGCTGCATCCTTCATCCTCTGAGCGCTTACATGATCAACTGGGCTACGTTCTGTACTTTTTTTTGAACAAAGCTGTTCTTTTCTATAAAAAATTTTGCAACCTTGATAGCATTGTAGAAAAAAAAAAGTCTTCAGTACAAAAAAGTTCATAGTATCGAAAATGCCTTCCCCTTCCCCAACAGCACCTAAATATAAAGAGGTCAACAGCAGATGGCTAGTCTACATGGTGTAATCTAAAAAACCAAACCCCAAAACACAGTGGCATATTCCCATTTTAACAAGGTTTAAAAAAAGACTGGCATAAAAACTGGGTGGGTGGGGATGTCATTTTTCAAACAGTACATAGTTCAGTGTCAATAATTCACATCTTGCAAGAAAGTTACAGATAATGGTTTCTTTTACAAAACTTCCTTTTCAGTGACAAAGGAAATTAAGGCCATCAGACTCGCAGCTTAAAAATTCACATAAAGAAAATATAAAAATATGTTGTGCTTCTGAGAAGGCTCCGTTCTGTAGGCAAGGATTACCATAATTTGAGGAAGATGGCTGACGGGAGGAGTTTACATGATCGCACAGCTTCTGTTAGATGCCCGGTGAGGAGGGGGAGGGGGGGGGGGGGGGGGGGGGAGGTTAGCAGCTCCAAATAACATACTGCACATTTTTAATATAGGCAGTTATGTGCCTGGCATAGTCTTAGCAAGAGTCAGTCTGCACCAAAGCTGTAATACAGCCTGCAATCCCCAGCAAGCTAGACATCCTCTTCTGTGAGAGGTAATGGAAGATGGGTACCAGATATACACAAGTTAAATAATTCTTATTGGAATCTCAAGCTAAAAATATTATTTAGTTCAGATAATTGGTAAGTACTGTGAGAAGCATATGCAAATATTTCTAGGCTTTTTCATCAAAACTAACTCACTCTTGCTATAATATTTTTACTTGAGAAAATAGCAAGACATGCATGTTAGCTGAACTACACAGTCCCAGAAATCAGAAGAGTAGCTTGAAGCACTTTAGTACTTTTGCGTAACTGCAATAAAAATCTGTCTATATTAAATTCCACAAAGTTATGATTCAGTCAAAGCCTCAAAAAATTTGGCTAGCAAAAACAGCCATTTCCAAAGCAGCCCCAACTCTCTCCATTTTTTGCTTGTTTATATATGCACGCTGAATTAGTGGTCTAGATTACTTTGCATAACTGACTCGTTAAGATATATACTAACTGAAACGCAGCAGAGTTTTAGCCAAGGTAAGAAACGCAAACTTTGCATTACAAGAACTTCTTAATGTTTGTTACCTTTATTATCTTTTTAGAAAGGCTAACTTCATGGTCAAAATCAGAACACAATGGGTAAGGCTCAAAATGCACACCACCAAATAATATGTTATGTTTCAGTATTCTCTTACATTTCAAAACATTTTATGTTGTTATTTCAAGTTCAGACATTTCCACTGTCTTTAGAGCTGCATTTCTTCAGCATGCCCAAGGCATTTTTTCCTGATAGTGTATTAACAACATAGGAGATATGAGGTTTAAGTTCTCAAAGCAAATGACTATAGATTTATGTGAACTGGTTTAAGCCAAATTTCACCATAAGCAATGGGCCCAGGGAAAAATCTTACCTGAAAAATCATATAAGGAAAAATCCCACAACCCTTCAGCTTCAAAACCTTGTTTTAAGACAGTCCAATTCCCAGCCTCAAGGGAGCATGTGAAGCAATTTTTTTTTCCTACTAACTTCAATAACAAAGCTTCATGCTTTTATTAAATTACTGTATGGGGGGGGGGGAAAAAAAGACGAACAAGCTAATAGCAATGCTAAACCCCGTAAACTGCCCAACTTGTTGAGGTTACAAGGACAGTTCTTTCCCAAAATTTCTTACTTGTATATTTGGGTTTTCATCCTAGAAAAAAAAAAAAATTAAAAGAGCATTTAACATGACACCTGCTGGTGAAAAAGGTCTTCCTCCTCCACAGCTTCAACTGCTTCTTCTTCCTCGACCTCCTCTTCTTCACCTTCGCGTAAAGTTGTTTTAAAGACGGTGCTTCTCTGAGCAACCTCCTACAACAGAGTTAATTAAGACTTGACTGCTCTAGTGATCTGGTACTGATCTCCTTACATTTTGAGAGAAGGGAGTTCCAGCTGTTGGGAAAGCTACCCAAGCACACTGTGACTGTGTACAGCTGTACACGAAAAGTATACAACTAGGATTCATAATGCTTTAGTTTTAAATCTCTTTCAGTGATTAAAAGGAGTTTTTCTAACAAGGACTTCTCAAACTTACTCAAAATTTATTTAAATATTTTATTTCAATTGCTGAATGTCACAGCAACTGATCTACCTGGCCAAAGTTGGAACCTCCACCTTCCCAGAATTAATGGCTCTTTGTTAAAACCAAATTCCACTCTAATTTTCCCCACTCCCCACAAATACACAAAAAGTGTAAATGAAAACTAATTTAAGGGACAGAAGAATCACTGAAAAGCATATAAACACCTTTAACCCTCAGAGTATACTTTAAGACACAGCCCAATTCATGGCATTAAGGGAATATCGGAACAAATAACTCTTTTACTACTTGTGCTCAATATAGGAGGAGGGAGAACAAATTCACAAGCTTCAAAATATTGCAGTCCTAATTTACTGTTAAGTTTCTGAAGAGAAGACAGAGTATGCTTAGTTGGAAAGCAAGAAGAGAAAGCCCTACTCAATGTAAGGCTACTGTTCCTGGGAAGCCATCTTAAAATCACGTTCAAAGCCCTGACAATGGTTCTGCCTTCACCTTTACTGGAGGAGACACTGGAATGGCAACACAGTCAACGAAAACAAGTTTAAATATATCCAAGGTATTTTTTACCTCTCCCTGAGAATTTTTCAGTACAACTTTCACATCTTCACCAGTGCCCCAAGAATTCTGGTTCTTCCAGATGAGGTCAGTGGGAGGGCTAGCAGTTACTCCAGCATTTGCAGCCCAAATCTGGTAAGAGAAGTTATATGTAAACATTACTTACTAGTCTTATACAATATATTTTCGTGTTATCTGTTGAGTTAACACATTCCATTTAAGTGACACAGGTGAATTTTCTCCAGTTAAAAAAAGCAAGCGTCTGCCTAGCCACTTCCAATATTTTTTTTTTTTTAAGTATTAGAGCAGCCCCACATTTTTTAGGGCAAGCAGAAGAGCGTTTGAACAGCTACGCATCTATCTGCAATCCAAACTATTGCTCCATGCAGAAAGAAAGTTTCTGAAAAATGTGGCTCCATCTACCAAGAAATTAGTCTTCCCAGCAACTGATAAGATTAACTTCAATACAAATTGAGGAGCTTACTTTCAGAATACTTACATGAAAAGGACAAAACTAAAAACTGTGAGTCCTATTAAGATACATAAATTGTCCTAAAGCCTGCTTCACAGGAACAACTGAAACTTAATAACTTACTGTAACAGTCTGGCCTGCTTTCAGTACATATCTTGAGGTATATTTGTAAGTAGCAGAAGTGTCTCCTATTTTTCTGATCATCTCCCAACCTCCCATAGGTTGATCCTAATAAAAAGGAGGAAAAAAAAGAGTCAATTTCCACCAGCAGTTGTTTTCTGTTACATTTATGGGGTATCTTTCACATAAAACCATATGAGATGTACAAAGCTTTTAGTAACAACGTTTACTACCACTTTATCTTCAGTATGCAAATATCTATTGCTTTAGTTAGATTAGTCTTACTTTTCATTTCAAATTAAAGCTGAACACATATTTTTAATTGGTTAATTTGTTAAATTGGTTTTAACTAGTGATAAACATTTAAATTAGAATTTTGTTATAGCTTAGTCCATCAGATATGCAGATATGTACTGCAAAGTCATTATGCATATATATTTTTATATATGTAGTATTGCAAAGAGTCTTTATATATTTTTTCATATATAGATATAGACATACAGCTATCCATATCGAGATATATCTCTCTATACAAAATATAAAGACTCTCTGTAATTACATAACACTTCTTCAAAAGCAAGTAACTTCTTCTGGACCTACAGGATGGACACCTAAGCTTCTGAGAAAACAAAACATTCTTGCCAGTCTTTCTAAACTATGCACTTCTAAACATGCACATTCCCTCGCTACATACTCCTTTTGCAAGAACTACAACTATTTTTCCTTTCAACTACTTTTTGCCTATCAACTTACTTTGATAAGCAGTGGCAAATCTACATATAAGCCCGTATACAAGTCGTCATTATAGAATGAGTACCTCAAAATAAATGCAGATCTTTTTCCGATACTCCCTCCCGCCCCTCCCCCCAACATTTTCCAAACATCAGATAGTTGTCTCTGGAACCTGAAAACAGAGTTAAAAACATTGTAAACAAACTGTTATTTATCTTAATGAATATGGACATTCAGTTGGTCACTGTAACAAAATATACCATACTTGCATTAAAAGACAATTTTACATCTTTTGTATCTATATATATATTGCTCTATTAAACACTTCTAAACATTCCAATGCACAGCTTACTACACTGCACTACAGACAGTTGCTCAACTCTGCACACCTTCCCAAGCCCTGTAACCAAAAACCACCCAGGGCTACTGACAGTAACAAAACTGCTGGTATACTCACCAGAGCTCAGAGACTGACAAAGGGAATGAACCTCACACGGTACACAAAAGAGGGAAAAGCACTGAAAAACTCAAAGGGGATAACATTGACAGGTCCTAACTCACTAGAAGTAGGCTTTCATTTGTCAGACTTCAGCTACCTAAAAATTAGCTGTCTAGACCAGGACAGTTTGTCAAGGCTTCTTCTATTCATTAAACAAAGACTCCTTTGAGTCTTTGACTCCTTTTAGAGGACAAGTTTCACCCTGGATTAGGTGATTAAGATGCCTATAATGACGTACTGCCATCTAGGAGTTTGCAGGAGTTTGTCTCTCCTTTGATGGAAGGGAACAGAAACATTTAGAGCTAGTCTATTTTTTGTCGTTTAAAACGTCAAGAGAAGCTCCCTTCGAGCAAAGCTAACGGATCTGTCTACGTTACACAAAGTTTGCGTGTCACTGAAAACAAAGAATGCAGCTTATGCATTTCTAAATACAGCTTTGCTGCAGTCAGCACAGGTCAGGACAAGAGTTATTCAGCCCTTTTCTGTAACTGAGCCAGTAAGAAGTTAGGTCTTGTAATTCTGATGCCCTCCTGAGACAATGCTTAATCTCCTCTTCTCCTAGAGGAAAGATATTTAAGAAATTTCAGTCCTCAGTCTCCAGCCTCACCCTGTGATGATTTGTATAACTGCCTGTATGCAGCACAGAAACGTCATATAGAAATTACAAGTAACATCTTGAGGGGAAAAAAACATTGACTGCAACAGTTAATAACCTTTTGGGGGAAAACAGGAAGAAGTAGTACCCTCTGACCAATGAGGATACAACCCCCCCTTCCCCTGCTTAAAACAAACTCCACGCTATTCGGAAGCGGCCTGTTCAAGGATTTACCTAGCAAAGGACCTAGACGCTACCTAGAAAGAAATAATCTAAACAGCCAGTAGAGAGGAGGCTTTGCTCGGGCTCTGAAGGCTGCTTCTTTTAAAAACTACGGATGCAACCAAGGAAGAGGAACTGATTTAGAGAAGCTATATGCAAGTAGAAGGAACCTGGCAATTAAATTTTCACCTTTACTTTGCAATCAAGTATGCATTTGTTTCTGGCAGTGACAAACTTCTGAAAAGACTCCCACAGTAGTTTACATCTGCTTTCATTGCTTCCCGTCACTGACAACGTTAACTGAATAGTCAGATTACTTGCAAGAGACAACTATGAAGAGTCATTTAGTACTCCGGTGGGTGCAAAACCAAAACATTAAACTTTTGCCATGAAGAGCATTAAAAATCATCAAAAAAAGTCAGCATCAACCCAAAACGCTGTTTGAAAGAGCATTTTGGGATGCACCAACTCAACACCTTAGGGCCACCCCTTTTATACTGCATGCTTTAGCTACAGGTCAACATAAAGCCTCAAACGGGGCTGAGGATGCCTTATATTTCCAATAAGCCCATTGCAGAGTTGCATCACACGTTCATTTTCAAACCTGTTCAGAGGTGTTCTTCAAACGGATGAATTTCCCATCGACATCTATCTCTTCAATAGAGACGTTTCCTGTGGCAGAAGCCGAGTGGGAGATGCTGACACTACTGCTGGCTTCAGATTCTTCTACATCGATCCTCTTTCTCTTTCCTCTGGTTGTACGTACACTACGGCTCGATGAAGCCCGTGAAACTGTCACTCGAGAAGATGGACTTGGAGAAAGTTTCAGTCTAAATTGAAGAAAAGAAACAAAGTGCATAAGTTATACTTGATTTTACATTATTATTCCTTCATTTATAAAACCTTTTCTTCTTTCTCTCCTTCTTCCCATGAGGGAAGCCAGATACAACCAGGCTCTTTTAGCTAAAGATATAAGAATATTGTAAATAAATATTGTACCCAATAGTGATGGACTACTATATTAAGATCATAAAAATATCCACATACACTCATTAAGGCTCGCATTCCTAGTCTAATGGAGCAAGTAAAGAACGGAACCGAAGAACTGAAGTCATTGTCGGAAACTTGCGCAAAAAACAAGTCGCACAGCAACTTTGGCAGTTTCACCTCACGCTTAAGAAAAATCAGCACAGACTAGTAGGACCTAGTTCAGAAACACTGAAATATCAAACTACTTCAAATGACAGCTGTGACCCATAAAGCAAAAAATCCTTAATATTGCTGAACCCTGGAGTCATGTGTGGAAAACGTAGCTACCTCCTAAGCGGGGTAATCATAAAAGCGACTACTTTATTATTTCTATTCTATCCTTAAAGAAAACTGGCTGACAACTAAATAACCCTGTAATTACTTCTGAAAAAGAACATTAAAAGCAGTACCAAACAGATGCACAAATGACAATTCATTATGTCCCCAGGACATATCAGAGGAAACGATGTCAGAAAATCTTATCAGAGGAATGATGTTTGTTCCTCCAGAGAGCTAGTGGCCTGACACTCAAGCAGGATGCTTTCACAGAGACTTGAAAGTGTGCGCCGTATATGAGGGGGAGAAAAGAACAGCACCTCAGACACAATGGTAAAGCACCTAATGAACGTGCTTTTCAGCAAGAACTGCCTTTAACAGAGAATTAGACAAGCGAGTCAAGCACACAACAACACTAACATTCATTGCTACGTTCTTTCATACCTCTCTTCTTCACCCTCCAGCAATTTCCGGTATGCATTGATTTCCATATCCAGGGCCAGTTTAACATCCAGAAGTTGTTCATAGTCACTCAACTGCTGCTGCATCTGATCTCTTATCTCTGCCATTTCCCTCTCCTTGTCAGACAGCATTTTGCGACAGTTTTCCCTTTCCTTAGCCAAGGTGTCCTCAAGCTCTTGCATTCTATCTTGCCATGCTCTAGACTAGAAAGCATTGAAAGACACATCAGTGGTGCAAACAGGAAAGTTCACTCACACCTCCAAGCATTCTGCTATTCAGGCATCCTAGATTTCAAAAGTAAGATTAGATTAAGCACCCCCTCCACTTTCTGAATTCAGTCCCCTCCATCTTCAATTGCCTGTTTTCCACCTTATTTCCTACAAACGTAATGTCTTTAGTCTCAATGAAACTTGCACCTGTCACATACTCAAGCAATTGTCCATGCAATGCTTTAACAGACAAGCCATCTGCTCCTTTTTCCCAAGATCTGAAAAAAATATTACCTCAATCGAAGTTACTCAGTCAAGAAAAACAGAGCTTAATAGTCAGGCTGTGTTTAAGACACGCTAGGCAGGATGTAGAATGAAAGACTCAGCTCAAAACTTCAGATCCTGCAATAAGTAATTTCTCTTTAGCTTTCAGATGTCTGTCGCTTGCTTCAGTCTACTGCTGCAGATTCCAAATTCTGTTGGAAGATACTCTAAAGGAATAGGAGTTACTCTCAGTGAATATCTGTCTACCTATTATTAAAGTCTTCAAGGCTTGCTAGAAGTACAATGGTAACCGGTCCATGACGAAAGCTACTTTCTCACATACTTCAAAACCGTATCAGCCAGTATGTATGCATTGTACACAGAGAATGGAACGCTTATTAAAGATTACCCAAGTGATCTGACTTTTAAGGTTTACGTTCCCTGAGCATTTTTTCTTCTCCTTAGCAGGTTCTTGTGGTATTTTAGTTAAAGGATAGACATAGGAACAAATGCCCCACCCAGAATCACCTTGCCTGGTTAAGCCACCAAGTTTGCTAGGCAGGTACCCCATTCAGGAAGTCACCACAGTCTAGACATAACGAAAATAGGCAGCTTTAAAGACTGAGGAGGAATACCAGCGTAAGCAGTTGTTAGTCTTCAAGTCAGGTGAGAAGTTTAAGAAAAGGAGTTTGAAGCGTCACATGGAAGATTACACTGGAAGCTACTACAGAGTTTTAGTGCTGGTAACTCAAATCAGAGACACGCATCAGAGAGAAGGGAGTTGTCTTCTTCCAAGCAGACAAAGCTAGTTTAAAATTAGGGCTAGCAAATAGAGAACAGTCTGATTTCTTGGTATTTTAGTAAGTGACGTCACTCATGCTACGAAAGAGCGTGGCAGCAAAATTGACTTTTTTGGTAGACAACTGGTGTCAAACTGGCAGAGGTTGATTGTGATAGCCCTGAATTACATGACTCATACCTCTGCAGATTTAGAAACAAGTTCTCTGAACCCTGCTTTCGCTGCCAAGAAAGCAACAGAACACAGATATCCAACTAACACAAGAAAAAAGCTAAAAAATCCATGTTAACTGAAATACCAAAGAAAGATAGTGATAATCTAAAGACAGTAGAGCTAAGCAGACAAGAGCCTCAATCCAGCTCTTGTGCAACTTCATGCACGTTCATTACGTCATCTGATCTCCTCCAGAGATTAAACCATGTATGCATCAGGAAAACTGGAAAGACCCATTAGTATTTGCAAAGTTTGGGAGGGAATTAGTAAATAAGGCCCCTTGCATGTACTCTTCACTTGAAATACACAGAATTTGGAAATCCTATAGAAGTCTACTGTACAGTAGGAGGAATACAGTAGGAATTCAAAAAACATCACTAATTACAAAAATGACTGAAGTTAAGTACTATTAATAATTTATACTTTCCAAGGAGAGAAAAAAAAGCAGCTTTGTTCTATTTTCACTTGATTAATAAGTTATAAAAAAGCTGCTTTCAGAAGCAGACCTCAACATCTCATTTTCATTCCAAATTTTCCAGTGCAATGTGCATAAAGCTACTCCCAGTAAATAAGTTACTTCTGAATGTGTGGTGTATCATGGGCTATGTCATACTTTCATATGTGTGACATACGTGCTCTGTGATCTGATTTTAAGCATATCTAGCTTAAGACCCTGCTCTACAGACACTCGAGAAGAGTTATTTGATATATTTCTCAGTCTCACATTTCGCCCTAATCCTGGCAAGATCAGCATATTTTTTTTTAAAGTTCTCTTACTGGCTCTAGGGTGAAAGATGGAGTAAGAAGGAAAGATACCAAATAGACAAAGGAACTGTGTACTCGAGCTCTGGCTTTGAATCTTGCTTGCTCAATGGAATTCCTATATCGGATGTTCAATTTTCTATAGAACAGAACTACATTGTTTAAAAGTGTCACAGACTCTTATCAGAGAGCCTGCACCTAACGTTGCCTCATCTATCTAGAAAATAAAGTAAGACTTCTGTTTGGTTTGCACAGAATCTAATGCAGTGGGATCAGATCCTTACGTAGCTCTAGGATATGTTACTTTAATTTTTCCTGCAGTTTAAGATTTTCAAATGACACAGAATTTCACCATTTCTTAATATGATTAAGAACTTACTAAGACGTCACATCGGCACGCACTTCCAGCAAGCGAACTTGAGGGGAAAAAGCCTGATGTTTAGGCTAGGCTCTACAAAGCACTCGAGGCTGGCTCAAGACTAGCACATGTAAAAGATCAGCTATAAGGCAGAGGAGGACAGATTTCCCTCATATATGCAGAATAACACTGGAATGAAAAGCAGCAGCAGAAACAGTTTCATTCCAAACCTTGTCCAGTAACCGATCTCTGTTACTTTTAAAGCAAACATAGTAGATGTTTTTTAAGACAGACACTAATTAACAGTACTGCCTTTCAGATACTCCCAGTAGCAGGACATTGCACAAAAGATAAACAGTTCAACTTTATCAAAAAGAAGTATTAAGGAATTTGGAAGTGTAGAGAACAGTAAACAGAAGACTAACGCAAGTCACAAAAATGAATACACTTAGAAGTTAAGGGAAAGAAGAAGTCTTTTATATTAAAAATCAGTAATTCTAATTAACAAAGCAGAAGAGTCACAAATAGCTCATTACCTCTTTCTGAAGACTGGCAAGCTGGGAAGACAGATTTTCAATCCGCATGCGACTTTCTGTCAGTTCTTCTCTTACCGAGTTGGCTGTCGAAGTGCTCATCTCAGAGGACAGTCTAGCATTCTCAAGCTGCAGTAAGTCACATTAAGACATTAGTTTCAAAGCAATTTTTATTAAAAGAAAAATGAGTCACCAAACAAAACCACACATAGCAGCAAGCCACAAAGTTCCTCTCTGCAGCTGTAACGCAGTGAAACATCTCTTTTTAAGGGTTAAATAGGCTAGCTCAATTACCATGCTGGATTGAGCTACCTGAAATCACAGTCCTCTTGAGTATTTATTGTAGGATTAAAAATTTGTTAAGGTTTCCCTTGTAAGCATTACTCAAGTTGGACTGCTAAGTTCCGTTTTCACGCTGGCCAATATTTAGCTTTATACTGTCAAATACTATAGCACTGTTTTTTTTTTTTGATTATGCTTGAATGATAGAACTGAAATTACAAATTCTCAACAAAAACCAAACAAACTAATGTTAGTTTTCAGCCTCGTGTAAACACATTGGCAATATGACTTAAGATTACAGTACCAGTGCCCTGAGTCACCACTTCTTCATTTTATCACTACTTCAGACTCAATTTTATCTGTTAATGCAAACAAAATGCGGACATTCAGTTTTTAAACCAGCTACAACACTCCTGTTGAATAACACCACATCTACTTAGACAGCACTACAGACTAATTACTGAATTTATAGCTTCAGATGAAATGAAATTCGAAAATGTAAATAAAGAAGTACCCCTAAGAAAGGGGACGAAAAAGCCTTAATTATGAAAAGGCTTTTTAGGTTAGTAAAAAGTCTAAACCAAATATTTTTGACCAGACTTTACTTGCAATCGTTTTCTTTCCCCTAGTTTTTCCAACTCACATTGAAGCCCTGAAGATAGGCAACTGCACACCATTAAGACTATAACTTTTCACTGAAAACTATACTAAGAAGTTAATACAAACTGAATTTATCTCTGTTGTAACACCCCACCTTGTCTCTAAAGATACCAACTGTGAGAAGTATAGCCACAGAAACCAGGTTCAGTTGAGACATCAGGATTCCTCTATACAGAAGTGATGAATCATAGTAGAGGAAGGAAATTACAAAGCATAACTGATTTCAGTTCAAACGTGTTTTCACTCTAGGAGAGTGAAGAGCAGAAATCACTGGGTGTGGTAAGGCTTCTACATAACAATGTCGCATGCAGGGTCAGAGTACTCAGGATGCCATCTTCTCAGAAAGCACTTTCATGAAACAAGCCTTATACAAAATATGGCATACCTCATTATCATCAAGATTGTGTTTCTACAACAGATTTATAATAAAAAAATTAATTCTCCTCGCATTCACAGTGAGCCCAGTACTAGTGACATTTTCCACACAGTCAATTCACTTTTACAGTCGCCACCCTCATTCAGTAGCTACGTTATTGTGCTTCCTGAGGTTTAACCCTGCTCCTCAAATGAAACCTGAAAATACAAGTTCATATTCAGAAGCACGATAATTTTAAACCAAGCTTCAGAATGAAATCCTCTGGAAGGCAAATAATTACACAGGTTATCCTTCCCTTAAATAAAGCAAAGGTAAAGTTTCTCAGACAGCTGAATGAAAAGATGTTCTCACTTTGGCATGATAAGTCTGTTCCAGCTCTTCTTTGTACAGTTTCACTTGTGCGTCATGCTGCTCCCTTATTTCATGAAGGGCTTGGGCCAGTTTGTGTTCATACTCAATTTGACGCCCAGAATCAACCTCAACTAGGCGAGTTTCATGTTTTCTTCTCGTCTCATTAATTTCCTGAGAAAAACAGAAAAATAACCTTCAATGCATATTAGGCAAAACAAGTTTTAGAACACTATCAGCCAAGAGCAATTTGTTTTCTTCAGCAAGTAATACAGCTTCTGGCTAGCTTTGCAGATAAGCATTGGAGTAGTTTCTATTTGGCACTGTTTCTACTGAAATGAATTAACAGTAGTGAAAGACTGGAAGTTTCACAAGACCATTTCCCTAGTCTGATCCGCACAGGACCTTATTCTTTAACAGCGAGTCATTGAAATAAGAGCTAGGATATCATCAGCATGTAAAGTCACACTGCCTTCTGACAGTTGTCTACACTTTCAAGAAAATACAACTCATCATTAGCAGATCTTAAAAATACCACCCCTAAGGAAGCGAGGGAGGGGGGGCATCTTAGGTATCTTTCATGCTTGCACAAAATGAAAGTACTGTAAAATCAAACGGTCATTTTCACTAGCCAGTGTTCTGCCCCCACTTACTTGTATGCTTGCCCTTAGTTGCTGGAAAAAAGTGATTCCAACAATATGATCAAAGCTGAAAATAAAACTGGAGAGGAAATGCACATATAGAACCAGAGACAGTACTTTTAGGTATATTTGTTATTGCTCTAAGGCTCCCCCTGTAGTACTGTTAAGTACTACAGGGATAAAAGAGGGTGACAAGAAAAAGCTATAAAAGACAAGAATTCAACAAATTCTGGCTCTTTCAGAAAGCTATGAAACTTAAAAAAAAAAAAAAAAAAAAAAAAAAAAAAAAAAAAAAAAAAAAAAAAAAAAAAAAAAAGTTCCAGGTTCATAGCATCTGTTTTGGTGCCATTCTCCATTTTATTTCTCATGAAGACACTTGTGGGAAAAAAAATTTTTTTTTTAAATTTACTTTTTCATAACTATGAAGAGAAACATACATGGCACCATAGAGAGAATTTAATATAAAGGAATATGGAACATAAAGCTATGAAAACTTCTAAGTCCACATCATTTTTCTACAATAGAAAGATGGAAGCTTTCCAGCTAAAGTTGAAGTAAATCCTGCTTTGAGTAGGAGTTTGGACCAGATGACTTCCCAAAGTCCCTTCCAATCTAAGTTATTCTAGAATGAGCACCAGTTTTTTTTCTTCTCTTTAAAAATGTGAATTCTTGACACTGAATCACTTTACCTCCTCATACATATTTTTACGGAATTCCAAGTCCTCAATGAGGCTCTGACAGCGATTTTCAAGATCCACCTTCATTAAAGTTTCATCTGCAAGCTGTTTCTTGGCAGCAGCTAAAGAAACCTCAAGCTTTAAAAAAAAAAAAGAAGAAAAAAGGATTCAGCACAGCAAAGGTTATAGAGCAGAACTCATGCGACACAAGGATCTCAGTTACTGAGAAGAAACAGCTAACTGTGAGTTAAGCCTTAACTTTAACGATTAAAAGTTAACAAAAAAATCAACCAAACAAAAAACCAAAACAGTATCTTTCTTTTAAAGTTACTTACACAAGTGAATTCTAAACACTGCACATTGATAACTACCATTTTAGTATCAGTTATGACTTCTCCTTACAAATCTTCAGTTTTTCTACTTAGCAAACACCATCTCTAGGAATTCAAATATCTCCTAGTCTTCTCCTATTGCCTAATGCTGCTAAAGATCACAAATCAAATATTTCAAAGGATTAACTAGCACGAGATTTTCTTTTTCTCCCTGTTCTATTACAAGTCCAGAAGATAGAGAAGTACAGGCAGAAGCAAAGGAGGGCACAGCGAATCACAAACTTAAAGCTGGGAGGCACTTTGGAATTTTGAATTCTGCTATTGACAGCGCCATCCCTTGAAATGTCATAGTCTGCAATTTTTAAAGGTGCTCTATTTCACCACTCACATCATGAGTAAGGTAACTGAACAATACTGAACACAGGCAGACACCTACTGAGTACTGCCTCCAGCTCCGACAGTGAACCATAACTTATTTCTAGTATTCGCTAGATGACTGCTTTGCTTCCATTTTTCGGCTATAAAGTTGCATTTTATCAGAATGAAGTGTAGGTCTTTCACTATGGATGTACCATACATCTATAAAACACATAATTTGATGGCAAAAGCTTGATAGTGTACCATTTCCTCTCACCTGTGCAATTTGATCTCTTAAATCCTCAAGTTCTCCCTCCAGGCTTTTCTTATCACCAAGAGCTGTGGCCAGTGCAGCTTCTTTAGAATTGAGGGCTGCTTCAAACTCTCGAAGTTTGACTTGGGCTCCATTAAGATCAGATTCCTTTTTTGCATAACTGTAATAAACCAGAGAAAGTGGTTAGGGAAGTCTAGAAATGCTCCAAAACAGGCTGATGACTAGGAAAACACGGTACATTCTGAATCTTAAAAACTTGAGTCACCTAACAAAAACATTTTGTCTTGGCTTAATTTGTTCTGTTTCAAATAAAACAGAACTAAGGAGTTTCTCATCCTATATAGCCACAGCGTAATACTGGGCCTGGGCTGTAGCAACCCTAATCTAAAGGGAACACAGTCAAAGGATTTTAGAATTAAAGCACACGTGGAAAAGGGAACAGCGTGTTTGTTTGCAATTAAAGACACCTTTTGTCATCTCTTTAGATAGCCACTGTAAAAGGTCACATCTTCCCCAGAAACTTAACAGGAGACAGGAAGTTCCCCCATCAGAAGGCCATTTTCGTAGGGCAGAAATAAGCAAGGTTTCCTCACTTCCTTTATCCATGTGGGAACTTGTGTGGATTCACCATCGGGGCTCCAAGTAATCCCTTTCCAGTTAACAGAATAACATCTTAATGAAAACTATGCTCAGTATTTTTAAGCCAGTTCTCCATTAATAGAAGCTGTAGCCTACTGAACTGCTTTGCAACACCCTTCTGATCACACATAATAGCAAAGTTCTACACATCACAGCAAAGATATCCAAATCCTGTCTACATAGTAGTCTGGGCCATCAATGAAACTGCACTGGTAAAGAGATTCCGGTGTCATTTTCCTCAAGAAGGCAGACAGTCAAGCTTTTCGCATTACTCCTCAAACTAGTTTTCACGTCTATACAAGTGGTTAAACAGTTTCCAGTGGGATTATTACTTAAAAATGCTTATGCAAACAAAGAAAACAAAAGAGAAAAGTAAAATACCTCCACACAAACCTACACTCTTCAGCTTAAATTGAATCATTCACAAACAGTGCTACAATAGGTTACTACCAAAAATAGGGGAAACATCTCAGGAAAAGCATACTCAGAAATCAAAATGACTGTTAATCTTTAGATGTCACATGCAGCTGTGTTTAAGTATGTGTAAGAAAAACTCTTTTGTCTTTTAGCCCGTTCTTTTCTCTCTGGGATTTCCACACATCCATATCTCGTTAGGAGAGCAGCATATAAAAGTCTTAATCTTTATAATCAAATTATGAACATTTTACATAAAGGGATAGGTTCACGCTCAACAGAACAGCAGCTATCAGGTTTCTGCTCAGCTTTCACATTTCTCTTTGCAGAAACGAATAAAACCAGAATTCACAACACTAAACTCGGGAGACTAAGAAGCGAGTGAAAGATTCTTAAAAACGAGATTCAAAGTGTTTTAAAGCATGAAAACATCCACTACTTTTTAAATCAAGATATCGCACTAACAAGAAACAATAGCAGAGCTTCTCAGCAAAATAGGACCAAGATCAAATCAACGTACAATTTTCAAAGGAGACTTTCAAATTTAGTAGATGCTTTTTCAAGATCACGTATAACAATATGCGAGTAACATTAAACTCGAGAGAAGTGTGTGCACAAAGGCTTCCAAAAATCATCTGTCCAAGTAAGTAAATTTTTAGACGATTTCGCATTGCAGCCACAAGATGGCGGGCTTTATGTAAGAGACGTAGCACTGGCTGATGTCCAAACTCTCTCGAGTAATCCCACATCCACCAAGGTGGCACGCTGCAAGAGCATGGGATACACAGGCTCTTGTATGCACTAACAGTTTTTGAGACAACTGAGAATCGTTTCTACTGTTCAGGCATATCTAGAAGAAAATGTAGTCCATCAACAGCATTTTACTCGCATTTCTTAGACCCGACAGTTCAGAACAGTTGGGTCCATAGATCAGACAAGAGCACAGGCTTTCTGTTTTTGTGTGCTCCTACTTCCAACTCTCTCCACTACTCACTGCAGGCCTACTAGCCTGCCCCTCCCCTTTCGGGCAGGCCTGCCAAGAACTCCAGCACGCAAGGAGGCCATCCGGCAGAGGAGAAAAAAGGAGAAAAGTGTCTCGCTACGGAACGTCTGCAACAAAAACCTGTCTGCTCATGTTATTGGGAAGGATGAGAGCCCAAATCAGGCTTTCCTTGGCTTGACCAGCGTTGAAGAACGCTTATCCAAAACACGCAGAGAGTACCTCATGCATGCTGTTTCACTAGGCTTCATGCTGAGGTCAGCCAGTCAAGCTGAATCCTGAAACTACAGTCACATGTACATAGCTTGCTTCAGCTGCACGGCCCCCAGGAAAGTACCCTGTAGTTGAAGAGGGAAACATTCCCCATACTCCTTACCTAAAGTTATTTTGTTTTTTATTACTCTGTAATGAAAATACCCATACCAATTACAAACAGGCAGGTAGCTAAAAACAGAGCTCTCGCAACTGGAACAACACTGGCAAGATGTATAATATATACTTAAAAATAGTCTGATTAAAACCCAATACACTACCCATAGCTCTAAATTAGGTATTACCAGTTACATCAAGGTATTCTCCTCGTTTATGTTTTTAAGAAGACTGACTATGAAGTCATCCTATAATTTAATTTGACTCAAGTCACAGAAGGGGGGAGTATTAAAATTAAGTGTTATTAGTGTTATGAGTTGTCTAATTAAAACTCATCTGAACATACTCTCAGAAAGAAACAAAAACTACAGCTCAACACCTCACACACTGAAAGCCAGATGAAATCTCAGCAACTCAGTGTGTCATCCCAGCCCTAAAGGAATATGGGAAAGCGCAACGAGATCACAAAAAACTTTCAATTATGAAAACAAGTACCCAATGTATACTACATCCTCATACCTAGTAATTTCTACCAGGAAGAACTTTGGTCTCTCAACAATAGCTAGCTTTTTTCTCCACAGAAAGTCAAAACTATATTTCAAAAAATTCTTCTTTCTGCAGTGTTCAGAAATTCAGCTAGAACTCCTTCGAATAGTTTGGCTCATGAGAGAAAGAAATAAAAGCAAAGAAATAATAGTTGACTTTCATCTTCCTCAAAGAATAAACTCTTTTTTTTCCTTCTCTTTTGACTTTAATCTATAGAAAGTATATGGATCTTCTTATCCATGAAACTGTAATTTATTTTTAAGTAATGCAGAACTAGGACCTGACTAAACAAAACAGCCATTTCCCCTTAATTTTCTCCCCACTTCAGGGAGAAATTGCACTTCAGAAATTTAACCTACATCGTTTAACTCATATAGATTCTACAGACACGTAAAGGATAAACACTCAGACTCTGCCTTAACTGATATTATCAGCATTTCTTTCACTAATGGAGCTGCACCCACAGATTGCAATAAAATAATAAAATCAATTCCCTTTGCCCAATATACTCCAGCCTCCCAAGCAGCTTGACAAAAGCAAGCATTTGGCACTGCTACTCTCAGAGGTGTACACCTAAGCCCCATGACCGCAGTTCATACACCTCACCAGTTTACCTTTATACAAGCTAATTTCTCATACCAGATTCAGTCCAGCTGAGACACGAGGCTCCAGACAGATTAGGCTGCTCACCATTCCCCAGATATACGCTGTAAAGTAGAAAAAAAATCAGCCCACGCACCACAAGCTACTGTGGTTGTGTCCAGTTGCCTGCATTACCTTATTTAAAGCTAATTCAAAGTTCTCAGAATTACAGATAGCTTAGGACAATTGCTGTTTTGGTGAGACTATGTGGCCCACTGGGCTTGTAGATCAGCAAAAATGGCCAAGCCACTAAATAACTCACAGAAAGAGGAAGGTTCCCTTTTCATGTACTTGCAATCACCCCTCCTCTTGTGTCAACTCTGAGGTTCACTTGATCTCCTAGACCGAATTTCTTTCTAAACTAGCAAAAAAAAGTCACCCAGGAAAAACATAACAATTTTCTATCTACTTAATAAAATGAATCGGTCCCCTGGAGCCAGATAAACCCCACACCCAATGCAAGAAAAGCAGCAAGACTGCTCCTTTCAGTGGATAGCTAGATCTCAAGCCGCACTCGGATGTGGTTTCATACTCCCATGCACCTGACAAGAGCAGGATGCCTCCCTAAGGGAGGTCCTTTCCTATTCTCCCACACCTAACCCCTCATTTGTGCCAGCACTTAGAGTAAGTCAGATCACAGAGCTAAGTGTTACCAACACTAACTGAATCCTCCTCAAAAAACAGTGGGTCTCAACAGCTACATGGCATAGCTACAGAAATGCTCTTGCCAGCAGCAGAGCTAATTATGATGCAGACCACATTTACATCCATACAAAATTACATGGTACTGCACCTTACTGAGCTGTTCTTCCACTCTAATTGTAGAGAAATATCAAAAACAAAAAATGGACCCTGGTCATGGATTTTTGTGGGCTAAACAAAATATGAAGCATTAGTATTCCTGTTCCCCCCCTCTTAAGGTAGAGGCAACAATAAAGCTATGTTTTGCAAGGAAGCAGCTGGTAAGTGACATTGTTTGAAAGTGTTCATGTTTCTGTATACACTTATAAAAGCAACTGGACAAGAAAGACTGCCTTCCCTCCAAATAATATAGTGTTTCAGGTTATAACTTGGTTCTAGCTTCTTTCATCTTATCTGTTTTAGTCAACCGAAGACAGTGACCAAAGTGTTTGAAGGGCACATTTACTACTCAGCAGTAACTCTTCTCGAAGAGTTCAAACAGTTGACCGCTTGAATCCTTCTCCACCTTCTCTACCCAGCAGTCTTAGCAGAACTTTTATGCAAGAAGCGCACACATCAAGTCATTGACCAAAACTCACCACACTTAGGGGATTTGAAAAAGAGGAGAAGGTTACAAGTACAAGAACATACAGTTCATCTGAATAAAGCGTGATGTGCTTCTGTATTTGCAGAATAACAGATAATTCAGGATGCAGCAACCCATCTGAATCCAAGGGAGTGGCGTAGAGTCATTTTGCTGACCATTAACCTATCTTTAATGAATAAAGTATCTGGTCTCCTTTCCAGCATTTCATGTTACTTAAAAATATCTAGCTCATTAATATGAAATTAGGATGACTTTTGGG